TCCCTTCATGATCAAGACTCTCAGCAAAATCGGCATAGAAGGGTCATTTCTCAACACAATAAAAGCTATCTATGAAAAACCCATAGCAAACATCATCCTCAATGGAGAAAAGCTGAAAGCTTTTCCACTAAAAACGGGTACAAGACAAGGATGTCCACTTTCTCCACTCCTTTTCAATATAGTACTAGAAGTCTTGGCCATTGCAATCAGAAAAGAGGAAAAAATAAAAGGCATTCAAATAGGAAAAGAAGAGGTGAAACTCTATTTGCAGATGACATGATTGTATACATAGAAGACCCAATAGTTTCCATAAAAAAAATTTCTGGAAGTAATCCATGAATACAGTAACGTTGCAGGATACAAAATTAATATCCAGAAATCTATAGCATTTCTGTATACGAACAACAGGCAGACTGAGATAGAACTGAAAAAAGTTGTTCCATTTACCATAGCCACAAAAAGTAAGATACTTAGGGATAAATCTAACCAAAAAAGCAGAATATAGGTCTTAATCGTAATAGTAGTAACAGAAGCTTTTTATTAATAGCTAATCGACTCAAGGCTAATAGGTTAAATAAAGAACATATGAAAAGCATCTTTGAAGTCTCACTTCATGTACTTCCTTTCTCTAACCATTGATAAGGTTACTGACCACTTCTTACAGGTTTGCACTTGGGCTAACTTTTGAGAAAAAACAACAACAACAAAAAACAAAACATGACAATATTGGTTCACTGTTCTCCACCTTCAATAGAGCTTGTTATAAAAGAATTTTTAAATAAGGCTACTCATAAGGTAGATGATATGTATTTTAAGATAATATGAGCTTTAAGGAAGGGGTTATAGCACAGCAATGAGAATTTTGGACTCTGGATTTAGATTACCTGGCTTCAAATCTGGGCTGAAACATATAAGTTCAGTGGTCATGAGATGTTCTGAGAATTAAATAATATAACAGTGTGGCTGCAAATACACAGAAAATACTAAATTAATGTTAAGGGGTTGCTAAGTTTTACTACTACTACTGTTTTTATTCTGTAGCAGAAAAAGTGTAAATGTCTTACACTCAGTAGGATTCTTTGACTTTAAATCCCATGCTCATGTCATCCTAAAATGGCAAGTTAAATTTGTTTTGCCTGAGACTAACAGGTGGCATGGTGGTTAAGGTGCTGGACTCCCAAATGCCTGACTGCCCGGGCCTGACATCTTGTTTTCTCTTTCTCTCTCTCTCACATGGCCAATAGAAAATTAAAATAATAATAATAATAATAATAATAATAATAATAATAATAATAATAACAACTTAACTAATTAATTAATTCTTAAAAAATTTGTTATGCTGAATAATTTTACCATAGTTCTAATAACTGATCTCCTGACTTACTGCTTTGACCAAGTTGTCACCTTGTGCAGTAGAGCAGTTAAAGGTGGGGAAGAAGATTGCACTTAAAGTTAGAAGACCTGTGTTTTATGACTTTAGTTACGGCACCCATGCCCAGTGTGAGATTTAAGTCCTGGGTCCAGGACTTGAATTGAAGTAGACTATGTAGGAAACGAGCAACATAGCCATTATGCCACCTGCTGGTCCCAAAATTCTGAAGTCTTAATTACCCACCTTACGTGGTAGAGCAAACTCCAAACTGACTTTTAAGAAAAATATTACCTCTACCCATGGCCACATCCTACTCTTGTGTAGATATAGGTAGTTTATTATTCCCATCAGATACTAACAGTTTATAAATGAATGTCAATCCTGCCTTAAGTTCAGCTGAATGCTAAAGCATATGGCTCTAAGTCCACATAAAATACCTGCACTCCATATTCTTGACATGTATGATAAGTTTGGCCAAGAGAACTATATTTATGAAGATACATTAGGAGTAGCAGTCTGTTCTTTCTAATGGATAATCTAAAGTTTTTCAGAAAGCTACAAAATTGAACTAAATTGCTTTGGCCTCAACAAAATTATTTTTGATAAATTGTGCTTTGCCTACACTAGAAACTCCAATGAAACTCAGAGTTGAATTTAGTATAAAAACTAAAATGGACAACAATATCCATTTGCACTTAAAAATATACTCATAGTTTTAGAATAAAAAATAAAGTAGGTATTAAAATGTTTAATGGCATTGATGAAGTTTAGCTCCTACCTTTGTTCAGGATGGCTTTCCTAATCGTTCAGTTTTATTCCATCAACAAAGGCTACAGTCACCCTGTGTTTCTCTCTCCAGACTAAATGGTATGGAAGGAAAGAAGTGGCTGTTCTATGTCTTAATATTTTTGAGGACACTGAGCCTTGATTACATATCCTTTAATAGGACAGTAAAAATACATACATATAAATCCATAGAAATATATTATTATTTTAGACTATAAAAATATAATTGTTTTATTTATACTATGGAATAATTTTTATATCTGCTTGAAGAATACATTTAAACAAGGATGATATCCAACAATGGCAGTAAAATTTCTAATTTTTATTAAGTTTTTTTTTTTTCCTTTTTTTAGTCTTTGCTATCTGGCAAGTGCACTCACTGGAAAGAGATGGGTTATGGGTATAGGGAGTAAGAAATCATCCGCCAGGGATGAGGAAAGGCCATGCTGCAGTCCCTTCTCTTCCATTCTCCTTGGGATTTGGGGCACTCACGTACTTGCACTCCGTCTGTTTTTCAAGCCTTCAGGTGGAGGACTCTAACAGTAAAGTAGGCCATGTGGGATCTAGCCTCCTTAACCACCACATAACTGGCTGGCACTTTTTTTTTTTTTTTTTTTTTTTGTATTTTTGCCAGAGGACCCATGTACTTGCCAAAGAGAGACAGAGCGAGAGGGGAAGAGAGAAAGCACGCTGCCCCCAAGGAGGATGGTCATGCTGCCATCTATTCTCCTCCATCTTTTGTCTTTCAGGATCTGGGGCATGTACCTGGCATGTTTTTTGAAGCCATAGGAATCGGAACTCAAACCATGCAGACGGCCATGTAAGATCCAGTCACCTTAACTACTATGCCATCAACTGATCCTAATTTTCTCAAGTTTTAAGACTGTATCTAACAAATATAAATTATACAGTAAATTATAAGAATGATATTTAGTAATACTCACTCTTAGTCCAGGAAACCCAGGAGGACCAATACCACCTACAAGCCCCTATTGCAAAAGAAAGGTGCAAAATTTATGAAATAAGATTTTTAACCACTAATGGCATTTTATGAAGATGAAGACAAAATTCTAGAAAAGGCTATATGAAAATTTTCCTTCTACAATAGCTAATTTCTGTAACTTCCCTACTCTTATGTGTCTTCCTGAGAAGTACAAATACGTAGAGGAAGTTTATGCTCTTCAGAAGTACTTGGGTCCATGCTTTTAGCTGCTAGGACTACCACCTGCCCAAGCAAGATATGCAAACTTCTATGTATTTAATAAAGGAAGTAAATCTTATCTGCAATAAATATTACAACATAACTAACCAATATAATGTATAAAAAGACAGTCAGCATATGTTAGAACATTTTTAGATATGATATGTCATCAACTCTGGAAATATACTATTTGCATACTCTGTATACAAACAGAGCTCTCAAGAAGAAGGGAGGGGTCCCAGAAAACGGGGTGAGAGGAAGAACTGAGGCAAGGGCATTTTTTAACTTGGTCAGTAAGGATTTTTTCTGGGCTTATTCTAAGTAGGGCTTGTGCGCACATTTCCCTTATGGTGGTGGTGGGGGGGGGTACATACTAAATGGGTCCAGTTATTCTCTTGGTCTCTCTATGAGAGAGAGAGAGAGAGAGAGAGGGAGGGAGGGAGGCATCCCCAACAGGACCCTCATGCCAAAATTTGCCAGTAGTCCCAGCTAGCCAGGATTATGAACACACACACTCCTGGCTTTCAGAGGAAGACCTTGCCTTGGGACACAAACCCACGTAGCTTCAGCATCACAGAGTTTCACATTACTGCTGTGCCACTGTGGCTGGTCTGTTATGAGTCTTTTGACGTCATGTCATTATATTTTATAGTCTTCCAAATAATTCCTAATATATAGGAATAGCATCTCCTCTCCTTTAAATTATTTTTATTTTGGATTTCAACATTCCTTTTGAAACAAAGGTTTAGTATAAACTATACAGAATTATAAACCAATAAACTAAAAAAGATCCAGTTTATTTTTTTCTTTTTTTAAAATGTCTGTCATAGAGTGCATGTGCTCAATGGAAGAGAGTGACAGAAAAAGAGGGAAAGTGAGAATCACCCCCATCCCAGGGGGGGATGGCCATGCTGCAATCCCTTCTCCTCTATCCTCCTTTCGGGATTTTGGGCATGTGCACACATATCCTGGCATGATTTTCAAGCCGCTGGGTCCAGGACTTGAAGTGCACAGTTGGTCGTGTGGGATGCAGCCACCTTAACGGGAAGCTCCCCAGAATCATAGGCAAGAAAAAGATGATAATTCTGTTCAAAACATCTTTTTTTTTTTCAGAAAAGGTTTTTAAAAAATTATTTATTTAATTTTATTTATCATTATTTTTATTTTTTAAAAATTTGCTTTAGGACATATGGCTCACCAGAGAGAGAATGTGAAAGAGAGAGAGAGAGAGACAGAGAGAGAGAGAGAGAGAGAAAACAAGCCACCAGGTCTGGTACTCAAACTACAGGGCCATGTGAGAGTCCAGCACCTTAACCACCATATCACCTGTCAGCCCCTAAAAATGTTTTTAAAAACTTATTTATAAATCAGTTCTATTCTTATCTGCCATGCCTTATAATAAATGAAACTTGGCTAAATTCATTGAATTATTTAGTATAGTTATAATTTAGAAAGAAAAGCAAAAATAAAAAACTATATTCAAACTCTTCATGATTTATATATGTTTAAATATAGAAACCATTCAGGCTACAAAAATTTTTTTAAGAATTATTTGTATTTAACTTTACTTAGCATTATTACTTTTCAATTTGACCAGAGAGGGGGAGGGGAGTGAGAAAGCAAACCATTAGGTCTGGGACTTGAACCATGGTTGACCATGTGGCAGTCCTGTACCTTAACCACCAGGTCACCAGCTGGCCTCTAGGCTACAAAGATTTTTTAAAATTCTAATTAATTTTTAAAAATTAATTTTAGAAACATGATAAGAATATGTGTATGGGGCAGACTGGAGGATAGCTATCAGATGTTTCTAAGGATAAAAAGCATTTTTGTTGTACCTAGTGTCAAAAAATAGTAATTCATCATCATTTTTAAATAACGTAATTAAACAAATTTTAGAATGGCAACTTTTCTCCAATCTATAAAACACTCAGAAGTAAGGTGGATCAATGGTATCTGAGTTCGCAAGTACAAACACCAACTACGCAATTTTTATAATAGTCTTGTTAGTACCTTAATGTACAAAAGTCAGTATTGTGATCACATATTTTTAATACTTTACTTAAGCAGTCACACTTCACATGATGAAAATAATTTTAATGACCATTACAATGGAGCTCATCAAACCATTTTTGGCTTATTTATCATGCTGAAAAATCATAAATTAGAGTGTGCAGTGGTATGGAAATTGCCTGGTCAGTAATGCTCACTCATAAATATGCTAAAAAGGATGGTAAGGAGTATGAAGTATGAATGATGTTAGAATGCAAAGCTGAACCATCAAAATGTACTCACGGGACTGCCATCAAGACCAGCAGGACCTCTTTCTCCAAAGTCACCTAAAAAACCCTGGCAAGGAGAAAAGAAATGATGCTGTTAAAACCAACATGTGTAAAGAATTCATTTTTTTGCTGTGTTTTCTATTTAAGAAATTAATAACAAAAATATTTCCTTTTTTTTTTAAAGAGAGATTTTTGCTATAGGGCATATGTGCTCGCCAAAGAGACAGAAAGAAAGTGAGAAAACACCACCACCCCCGGGAGGATGCCACACTGCAATCTGTTCTTCTCTATTTTCCTCTTGGGATTTTAGCATGCACACACACACGCACCCCATGTGAGTTTTAAGCTGTCAGGTCCAGGACTCGAACCATGGTAGACTACATGGGAGTCCAGTGACGGAAACATTATGCCACAAAAATATTTCCTAATCCCAAAGTTGTAATAAAACAAACTTTCACTTTTTGTGTAACACTTCATTAAGTATATTTCTATATTTTATAAAAATTATTTTACATACCATATTACATATACAAAAAACAAAGTAAAGAAGATAAGAATTTGTTCATCATTATATAAAGAGTCATTGAATGAAAAGAAACACAACCAAGAGTTCTGGCTGACCAATCCATTAGATATCTCTGCTGTTCCATGCTGTTTTCATCCCATGGAAAATGAAATAGCTAATATTATTAAACACCTACCATGTTCTGAGGGTTTCGTGCATATTATTATATAAACAGGCTTCAAATTCATAATAGGTGTGTTCAATGAATACTAATACCCTCAACTTTGTAGTTGAGGAAATTAAAACACAAAGAGGTTCAGTCACTAGCATAAGAAGGTTAGACCATGGGAGATAGGTGAGATTGAGATTGGAATGGAGGCAGTCTTATTCTAGAATCATTGCTCTTTCTACTATGCTATACTGAATACATAACTCTTCGTTCCACAATACAATATTTATGGTAAAAAGTCTTCATTCCACAATACAATATTTATGGTAAAAAGTACTTTAAGTACAGCTTTATTGGAGAAAGACCTAATACACATAAATACTGCAACTTTAAATCTGGTGCTACTGTTGGGATAGGCAGTAGGGTGCTGTTGGGCGATACTGGAGCTATATGAGAGGTCTCAGGTTCAAATATCAGATTGACCTGAACATGTTAGGTGCAGGTACACCCATGATCTTGGGTTGCTGGAGCACTGGAGATGGCAAGAAGGGATAACAGTGTGATGGGACACTGTCAAGGGTCAATCTTTGTCCTCTTTCTTTCTCTCTGCCTTTATTTTTTCTTTCTTATGAAAGAAACTTTTTAAAAAATGGAGTGCCACTTAAAATTAAAGCTTCCCAAATGCCTACTGAGAATCCAAAGAAGGATAGTGAAGTAGCAAATTTTCCCTTATACATTCTATTGTAAAATAACTCAATACTCAGGTACTCTTACTTTATATACTAAAGTCATTAGATTTCTCAACCTTAAAGCTCACCTTTTAATAGGCTTCTTCAAAATTAGTTTGAGACTTAACTATTATAAATACTTTAATAATATTCATTCTTTAAATTTGTAAGAATAAAAAAAGTGAAAGTAATCATTATGGTCTTATGATCTCTTTATTTAGGTAAATGAGAATTAATGTTATGTTTAACGTATTGCCAGGAATCACAAAAATTCCTCAGTACCCATGTGACTAGATTAAGTGTAACAGTTTAACAAAAGAGAAAAAAAGTATGATGTTTCTAAAACATACTTAACTCATACTAGATGCAGTTTGTTCCACTCTGTAATCAGAGGTAATGTAAAAACCATCTGTGTGGTCAAACATATTGCAGCCATACCCCACTCTGAAGTCAGCTGAAGTTCAAATAGGCATTTTGCTTTCATTGTCCTTGGAAGTCAAACACTGTGTCAACAAGCTTGCAAATCTCCAATACGTCATTCTATCCAGTCTGAGCTAATGTGACTATTTGAAAGTACTTATGATGCACAGGTAATGGAAAAAGTAGAGGAAAAATACTGTAATAAATATAAAACATTCGAGATGATTGATTTTTTTTTTAGATAGATCATAAGTAGGTTTTCCAAAAACCACAGTGAATAATAAAAATTTTGGGATACACTGCACAATTTCATTAACATGAAATGTCCAGAAGGGGTAAATGTAGAGAAAGTTAAAGGAAATTAGTGGTTGCCTAGGACTGGTGAAGTGGGGAAGGAATGGAGAGTGACTGCTAATGAGCACAGGATTTCCTTCATGGAGAATGGATATGTTCCATCTAAAAGTAGTGTGACGACTGCATAACTATAGGAATATACCCAAAACCACCTAACTATACACTTGAATGAGGTGAATTTAGGATACGTGAATTATATCTTAATAAAGTTGTTCTTTTCTCACTTTCTTTCTTTCTTTTTTTGAGGGGGGAGAGGATTTTGCTATAGGGTGTGGGAGCATGCCAGAAAGACAGAGAGAGAGAGACAGAAAGCCAGAAATCAGCCCCCGGGGGGGATGGCCACGCCGCCATCCCTTCTCCTCCATTTTCCTCTTGGGGTCTTGGGCATGCACGCACACGCACCTGGCATGAGTTTAAGCCACCGGTTCTGGGACTCAATTCTCAGTAGAGTACATGGGGGTCCAGCAACTTAGCCATTACACCAACTGCTGGTCCCATGTATATGTGTGTGTGTAACTTTCTATAGGGTTCATGTGCTATACTAGAGACAGAGAGAGAGAAATGAGAAATCATCTCTCAGGAGGGATGACCACATTTTAATCCCTCTCCTCCATTCTCCTCTTGGGATTTTGGGGCATGCACACACATGCTCCTGGTGTGTTTTTCAAACCACTGGGTCTGGAATTCAAACCACACAGTTGGCTATGTGGGATACAGCTGCTTTAGCCACCACACCATTTGGCTAGTCCAAACTATTCTTAAAAAACGAGAAGTAATCTGAACAAGGAGCAAGATTGCCTAGGGGACTTAACATCCACCACCTCAATTCAGAGGAGAAACTACTCTCCAGTTTAGCTTCCCAGAAAATTACCAGTTTCTTCCCACATAGGATGGAAAAGACAGAGAGAGAATTGTGATCAGTTCTTCACTTACCACAAAATTTGTACCTTCTTTTTCAGACAGATTTTTTTCTATAGGGCACATGTGTTTGCAGGAGAGAGGCAGACAGACAGCAAGAAATCACCCCCCAGGGCAGATAGTCATGCTGAAATCCCATCTCCTCCATTCTCCTCTCGGGATTTTGGGCATGCACAAACACATGTCCAGTGTGAGTTTAAAGCCACTTGGTCTGAAATTTGAACCACAGTTGAACTATGTGGGATGGGAGTCTAGCAACATAACCATTATGCCATCTGCTGGTCCCAAAATCTCTACTTTCTGTAATCTGAATAAAAACAATATGTCCCCACTTAATATATACTGAGTGTCTGCACTCTAAAATATATATATACATTTAAATATATATATATATAAATATATATATATATTTAAAACCATGCTGCTTCTGTTGTTATAGAGTTATAAAATTATACAAAATTATAAGACATATGCTGAACATTATCTTTAAAATTCAGTATTTTGAAATTTTGAAAGTTGTTTGTAAACTGTCAAGAATTATGGAGTATGAGCTAAAAGTTTTTGCTATGTAAAGTAACTGTGGAAAAATGTAAAAATAAATAAATGAAAGAAAAAAATAAATAAAAAAATAAATTAAAACTGCAAAAAAAAAAAAAAACCCAATAAAATACTGACCTACCTACAGTGGCAAAGGCAGTGGGAGTTTTGCTGTGTGACGATGGAGTCTGTGTATGAGGGCTCTGGGTTCAAGTGTCAGGTCTGACTGAGCATACTGGGTGCACCCAGAGAGAATGTCAGTGATGCTGGCTGGCTGCAAGGTTGGGGGAGAATCACTATGAGGATTCTGTTAATGGCCTCTCTCTCTCTCTCTCTTTTTTTTTTGAGGTTTTTGCTATAGGGCGCGTGCACTCACTAGAAAGACAGAGAAAGACAGAGAGACAGAAAGCGAGAAATCACCCCCCAGGGGGGAGGGCCACGCAGCAATCCCTTCTCCTCCATTCTCCTCTTGGGATCTTGGGTACTCACGCACACGTGCCTGGCGTGAGTTTTAAGACACTGGGTCTGGGACATGAACCACGGTCAATTACGTGGGAGTCCAGCGACATAGCCATTACACCAACTGCTGGTCCCCGGTCTCTCTCTTTCAATAAACAAACTTTAAAAAGTTGAAATACTTGTTAATTTCAACTACTTGTTCTTCTGGTAGTTTAACAACATGTATGATAAGTATTAGTTCATTTGACTTTGTCCCTGAAACAATGTAGTTGAACTAAGTACTAAACTCTTTTTAAATTATTTATGCATTTTTCTCAATTGATTATTAATGTTTCACTTCATTTGTAATCCTCTATTCTAGATAGAGGTAACTTATATTTTTTTAATCCTTCTTACAAATAGATTATTGTATCATCAATTTTTGAAATAATTTTCCTAAATATAGATATAGCTTTTTCCTGTTTTAAGAAATACTAACAGTTAACACCTCAAACAGCATCATTATATTTGGTTATATATTGAACACATAACATTTTCTTATCAAAGACATCATGCTAATGTTTTATTTGTTGAATCTTTCATTGCTTGTCTGCTGTTATTCAGTTACTATTTCAATTCTATTAACTGCATGCATGTTGTTTAAATAAAGATGTACTGCATTTTTAATCATGAATATGATATTTTTTAATCATGAATTTTGCAACCACATATTGTCATTGTCAAAAAATGATCTATAAGATTTCCTAGGAAATATGGAAAATTAGCAGCAAAATACTTGGCCTTGATCTCAGAATAAAAATAAATAAATAAATAAAGAGCACAGCTTCTATAGTTTCTTTATCTATGCAAAAGGATTTATTGCAAAATCAAATACTTTATTTTGCCATATTTACTTAGTAAAAAATAATAATCTTCATTTTAAATAAAACTGTGCTTTTCTAGAAATATTTTCACTCTGCCAAAGGACACAATGATCA